GAACAGCAGGTCCCACATCCATGTTTTTGACAGGAGACCACAAAGATATATAGGTGTGGCGGGGCGTGGCCTGTGGTGCCATGCAGGGAAGGCGGACGCACCTGCACGGCATCCGCAATCACTCCTTAAATATTGCACTGGGTTCTCTGGTTGGGGCTGTTGTTGTGGTACTGGTGAGCTCTGTGTGTATTGTGAACAGCAACAGTGTGTGTGCTAATAAAGAACGCTGCAAAGCATGTTAATGTCACCGGGTCCGCCGTGGTCATTTACAATAGTTATACGGCCTTTCCCTAAAAGGAAAAAGTGTTTTTTAATTGTAATTTTGCTGCTAGAGGAGGCTGTTTGTGATCATTCATGTGAAGTCAACATATTCTCTTTTTTTAATAGCTAGAAACCCTGGTAACTTACAGAGTTGATAACCACTGTCATGTGCCTGTCAGGGTTACTGTGAGAAGGAAAGGACGTCCTGATAATAATTCATTTTTGCTGAATCCAGATGTGGTCCAGATGTCACCACGAATTGATCCATAAAAGATTCACATGTGCCAAATGTGAACCAGAGAAAACTGCAGGTGGGGCTGTGTTTAGGTTGAACATGCTGGCACTCAGACAATGAAAGCAGTAACAAATATTACTTAAATATCATGTCGAAAATCAGGTTTGACTCCTACTATATGCTCATTAAAAAACAAAATTTGACCAACTGTACTGGGGCTGCCCTGTAAAAGAAAACTGTGGAACAGCAGTGAAAAAACTCCAGTGTGATCACGGTGACAGAAACAGAGAAAATGAGGCAAAATGTTCATATCGATGCTATCAGCAGCCACACGGCTTTCAGTGCTGGATCGATACTTTGTTTCTATCGTCTAAGTTCAGCACTGAAAATGATCCAGTATTTTTTAAGTGAAAAACAATAGACGTCAAACAGGAACTGTGAAAAATGTCACAACTTTTCAGTGTCTATTTTATTTAACGTCTATTTTATTTAACGTCTATTTTATTTAACGTCTATAGCACATTTAAACAACAGAAGTTGGCCTAAAGTGTTTTAGACACAAACACATTTCAGAATCAGAATCAGAATCAGAATCAGAATCAGAAAGGGTTTTATTGCCAAATGTTGAGCAGGTTTACAACATTAGGAAATTGCTGCAGTACTTAGTGCAAACATACTGTCAGATAACGCTTAAATAAACATGAAAATTAAAATTAAAAGTGCTAAGTAGATAGATATATACATGAGTGCAGGTGGTGATCAGTGC